TGTAACAGGCGTGGGCTCGCGAGACTCGTGGAAATAAATTTTCCGACGGATTAAACCGATCCTAATTTTACCTAAAGAGTAGAATAAATTTTTCCTATCGACGAAGGAACGAAGTGAAGGTACTCGTGAATTTTTCGAGACTCGGTTCCAATCGAATTAATTGGGCCTGCTTAGTTGGTTCTCGTAAAACGCACGATACAGAACGGTCGATAGAATGAGGACCTGTCGGAACGCAGCGGGGAAATTGGAGAATCGCGGCGTGCCATCGATTACGACTTTGTTGCGCGGAGTTGTCTCGAAGAAGATCGATTACGTGGCGGTTGATCGTCGGTTACGCGTCGGCCGCTCGCGCGACCGATCCGATTCCGGTAATCGTTGCCACCAGTTGTTGTTTCGTTGATGGCCCGCGAATAAAAAACGTGGACAACGTTTCGTGCCGTGTATCCTGTATATGTGCCACGCGTTGGAATGATCCCCTCGTAATGACTCGTAATTACGGGAAGGAGGAGCGAACGTCGTGCTGGAACGATTTAAGGAACACCTAGCGCTACCCCCTCCCCCCTTCTCCGCCTATAATGATTAGGTGCACGCGACTTCGAGGATTACCCGGTTGAAGTGTGGTGAGTCCAAGGATAAGAGATCGTGGATCGTGGTCCGAACAACGTCGACTTTCGACTTACATCCTACAGATAAGATTATCGCCCGGATCCCGAGAATCCCCTCTCCCCCCGGAGAGTGTCCAAATCAATCGGAGATCCATCAAGGGGAACTGAACGACATTCGATCGACGCGGGTACGTGTCGACCAATTTTCCACTCGTTCCTCGAATTTATTTCTCCCTCTTTTTCCCACTTTCTCCCCTTCCTCCTTTTTTCTTCTTTTTTATTTTTCCTCGAGTGTGTGGCTGGGTCGTGGCCCGCGCATCGTTCCCTCCGATGCCAGTCGACGACCCGCAAATCCTCGTCGAATGCCTCGTCTTACCTTCCCCGCGATTTCAATCCCTCCGCTCCCTTTGCGAGTTCGATCAGCCTCTTATCCTCCCTCTTAACGAGCTCGATGAACGCTCGTCGTCGATTTCTTTGTGGCTCTTGTGAGGGCGATCGAACGGCGATCGATCGTTCCGTCCCCTCGTCTCGATCTTTCGCTCGATAATTCTTTTCTTTTTTTAATTCGACCGCGACTCGCGAGGAGGGGAAGGAAATTCGCGGCTCGGACGAGAGAGAAGTTGTTTTCTTCCGGCCGGTTAAATAGGCGGCCGAGCGGGAGAGTGGCGGCGCATCGGCGAGCCATTGTAATGCCGTCGTTAACCATAATTTCATGAACGCGCGATAACAAGTCCGCTAGTAAAACCAATATATTCCGGCATGCTCGTGATGCAATTAATTATATTACCAGATACCACGATTATATACGGGAGGAATTATCGAAACGTGTAGCCGGCCGAAATTTCATTGAGGCTTCGCGTTTGAATATTACACCAGGAATATGTATATATATATATATATATATAATAACCGGGGAAAAATGTTCCCCTTTAATAACGGGAGGAAATTTTTATCTAAAAATTTATTTAATATACGCGGGAAACCGCACGAATAAAAATGAAAAATATCTCGCAATGACGTTTCACCACTGGTTAAAAGACGATTTGAAAGTCTCTTCGAGTCGTAACAGGCTTCGTTAAACCTAGGCTGAATTTCTTTAAATTTCCCCTCTCTTTAGATATCCCACCGCTCAATCTCGTTCAAACGCGTGATCCCGCACTCTCCTGTACGTTTGATTTTATTTAAAATCCTTTCCTCAATTTCGCAATTTTTACAGAGACCAATCATCCATCCGTTCGTTTTTCCTTTTTTTCGCAGGCGGGCACGCAATATGGACACGTCGCCGACGTTGAGTATCGGTGGCTCGAGGGCGAGGGCAGCGCTTCTGACCACGAGCGGCACCGGAACCGGAAGCACCGATAGACGCGTCGTCTTTTTAGCGAGTCAACCGGCGGTTGGGGGTGGCCACGAGACCAAGACTTGGCCCCACCATTGGTCACCGCACGCGGTACGTGTACTGCATCATTCTACTCATCCTGCCATTCGTTGCACGCCCGCGAAAACATCTCTCCTCGAGATTTCATTCACCTTATCGTTTTCTCTTAATTTCTCGAGAGGTTTTCGATTCAGTGTGGCGATCGTTTTAACGAGAAAAATTAGGTAAATTAGCGTCCACGATAGGAGGAGGTTGTTGGAGAAACGATAACCGCGTTCCGATTAATTTCGTTCGATATCCATCGGAAGAATAACAGGTCGATGGCTATAAATTTGAAAATGTTCAAACGCTTTCGAAGTTGACGATTCGATTTTGCCAACTTTTACGCGCCGATTTATGGAGATGGGGGATGAAATTAGAACGATTGACCTAACGACACGCTTCGCCCGGCATAAGCACTTGAATGCGCAGTCCGGAAATATGCGGCGTGTGTATGTAACGGGCGACGCATCGAGATGGATGGCGAACCCAGTTGTAATTGATGCACGGTCGCGGTGACACTCGAGATCATACGCGTCGAGACACGATGAATTGACCCGATAGGTGTTTCAGACAATCGATTCTCTCTCTTTCTCTCTCTCTCTCTCTCTGTGGGTAAATGAAATTCCGAATATTTTTAGCGAAAAGTGTCTTATAACGCGGGATGAGTTCGCAGTTGAATTAGATCGGACGCTCGATAGAGTAGGAGCTAGGTGTTTTAACCATATTCTGGTTATCTTCTGGCCAGCCGTAATTCGACAGTGTAGCGTAACGTGAAATTGAATTAGAGATTCGATTAGGGCGGAGTTAGCCTATTCGTTCTTATCGGTAGCGCAGTCTAACTGCGATACGGGCTGGTTCTATCATTCCGTTTTCTGTTTGCCATCCGTGGAACATTAGCTATTCTAAATCGTCGTTCGTACCTGTTTCACGTGGAGCGTGATCGTACGCATTGATCATATGCGGGACGTGCAAAGCGAATTGTTTAACACAGAAATCTAAAAATCTTGGTATGGTTATATATATCTTCTAGATTGTATCTCTCCGAGATATGAATGAAACAATAGACAATTCGTTTCTTTAAGTAAAAAAAAAAAAAAAAA